AGTGACTGCAACAATGCGCTCAAATGTAGCAATGACTGTGAGGATGGTGCAGAACTGGGCAGTGTTTTTTTGTGTTATACATAGGGTCGTAATGAGTCGGAAGCGACTCAATGGCACCTAATAACAACAGTTGCTAGAATTAACTGTATGCGGACTCATTAATCCTTGAAAGCAAAGACTTAGGTATTATACACCCCTGGTTTTACTTACTGTTTGTGCCCATTTCTATCTGTATGACCTGGGAAAAGTCACCTAATTTATTTAATGCTAAATGTTCTAATCTATAAAATCTGAATAGGAATAGTACCCATTTCCCAGGGTTATGGAGATTAAAGGGGTTAATGCATGTAAGGATTAGCCCAGTACCTGGAAACAGTAAACATTCAATATATTTCAGCTGGCATTATTATCTTCAATTGAAAAATGAATCATCTGAGTCACAGAGGATTTATTTAAGTTGTTCTCACAGTAAGTAAATGGACACAGCCACAATTTGAAACTACTTCATCACTTTAACTCCGAAGCTTATGGTGATTCCCACCGTGTCTCTTTTGTACCCTCTCATCAAACCCAGCTCCCCTGTTCACGGGTTTTTTCCAGCTATGTGCAGCAATCTTAAGTGTAAGTAAATGAAGAAGTGTAATTTTGTTCCCAATATGAAAGTTAAACAAAATTTTGTTCAGAATCTTTGCATGCTGGAGAAAGTAAGCGTCTGTGTTTCTGCCTCCATGCCTATGTGCTAGATTTTCTTTTTTTTGGTCCAAGGTTAAAAGCTTGTTGTTTTGTATGTAAAATCAGCGATCACAGATCAGTTTGCTTATCATTTGATTTTCAGATTTACTGTATGTTACTTCTGTTTAATGATTCATACAGTTTTGAACCGTTGTTTTGAATTGCACTCTAAATATTAACTGATGACAACTGATGAACACATGCCAATTTATGGTTGTGACAGGTTTGCAGGTCTATGAAATAAACAGGATATGAACCTAGCAGACTAGATGCTCTTGTAAATATTTCCAAATGTAGGATATATAAATCTGTTCTGCTCAAACTTTTTTGGACAGGCATACTCCATGTGCTACATTGTTAACAAGTAATACACTTGGTCAAGTGTTCAAGATCAGTTTTTCTAAGACATATTGTTTTTAGCATGTAGTTTGTCTTCTGTGCTTAATCTTTTGTTCCCCCTCAGGAAAAGTTCTCCCCTCACTCCCACATCACCCCCATAATTCTGGGGCAAAAATTTATCTTACATCTTGAAAGAAGACTACACTACCATGATAGCCGTGGGCTTGGATGCCAGAAGCAGATAAAAGAATCAAGGATTTAGTTACCTGATTATATGTGCGTCTGTACGTTTTTGAATGTTTATGAATGGAGATTGTTTATGGCTTTAAAGAAACAAATAGAAGGTGATCATATGGGGGAAAAATAAGAGTTAAACCTGGATTGTGTGGAGATTGAAGTACATAAAGATCTTCAGATAAAGATCATGCAAAGGCAGTTAAAAATGAGGGATTAGATCTTGAGAGAGAAAGGGAGTTCCATTAGAATGGACGATGCCTTAGACAAAGAGATTTGCTGAGGTAACAGAGTGACAAGGGGAAAACATTGAAAAATATTGAAGAGCGTGAAGGTAGATGAAGAAACATGAGAGAGTAGAAGATGTGGCAGAGTGCCTTGAAGCAATGGGAAGATGAAAATAGAGGGTATTGTAAATATTTGCAATTTACCCAAGAGAAATCAAGCTCAGAAGGATTAAGGGGAAATTCTTTAGTTTGTTATTTAGAAACAGGTCTGAGTCCTGAAAACATAGTTTCCTTGTAGCAATAGAGAAAAACACTCAGACTGCAGGGGGTTGAAAAGTGATTGCACTGTGAGAACACAGAGTATGTGTGCGTAACTATTGCTGGGAAGAATTTAGATTTTTGATCTCACCACCTCCTTGCCACATTAGAAAATAATGGCATTCAAAGGACACGCTCAGCTAATTGCCTTTGTTACCATAGTATTTGAACACTGTAGATATATTCTACAATGGTTGGCTTTTAGGCTACAGTGGTAGTTTTCAATTTATTTTGACAATTTATCTGTACAGAGCTCTGGTGGTGCAGTGGTCAAGAATTACAACTTCTAACCAAAAGGTCAGCAGTTCGAATCCACCAGCTGCTCCTTGGAAATCCTATGGAGCAGTTCTACTCTGTCCTATAGGGTCGCTATGAGTTGGAATCTAATTGGTGGCAGTGGGTTTTATTTATCTGTACAAGGAAAAATAGAAAAGGACACCACTTAATGTATTTATATTTTATAAATAATGCACTACTGTACTAATATATTATATATAGTAACACATAAAGATATTAAACATATTGAAGCATGAAATAAAACCTAAATAAAAATAAAAATTCTATCATTTTCTCTTTGTAGCCTAGTTGATTATAATATACCCTGTCTGGGGTTCATGATCTCCATTTGGATAGCATCAGTCTTGAGGCCTTTATTGATATAAAATGGTACTTCACACTCTCTAAATGCGCACATTTCCATTCTATGCAGACAAAAATTTTCAAGTGATTTCCAGTGAAAATGTAAAATCTATATCAAGGCTTGCAATTTTAGCTTAATCTAATTTCTCTATCTAGTTTTATCTTGGTGAGCTGAAACTCTCACTTAAAATTTCTACAGTATTCAATACTACCCTATTTCTCATGCATCTGTATCTTAGAATCACCGATTTCCTGTTCCTGGAATTTGCTTGCAAGCCTGGGAAACCCTAAGACATAGGTTAAGTCTCAATTCATAGGATTTAAATCAGTTAAATTTGAATCTCGTTTAGAAACTGCATGACCTTAAGCAAGTTACTTAAATGCTTTAAATCTAACTTCCTTCACGTGTAAAATATTGATTATACCTAATTTCAAAGGTTGTTGGGAGTAATTCACTGAGATAATATATAAAAGAAGCTGATAATAATTATTATTAACAATACTAATAATTAGTATTAACAAATTAAATGCGATAATTTAATACCTACTTACCTTATAATTGTGCATATTTCTTTACAGAGAAATACGCAAGGGATTGACCAGAAGATTCTCAATTCATGTCTGTATCCTGAGGGCCTAGCGTCGTATTGGTACTTCATTAGTACTCAATGCGTATTTATTGAGGAATAAATGTCACTTCTAAACTTTAGTAGTCTGATTGTGATTAACAAAATACTCAAAGTAATATATACTGTTCAATGAAAGGCATGTTGTATTTCACATACTCATCCCCACACACGTATATATTGCATTTTTAAACCTCTCCCCTGTGCTGAAAATTTTCATTCGTCCTCGTACAAAACTCAGCTTAAATTTTACTGGGTAAAGTTTTACTGAATCTTCCAGTGCAGAGCGAAATAGACCTCATTCATGCTGGTTCTAAAAGAGTAGGCACAGAAACCTGTTATTCCACCAAGTATGCGGCATAAAATTGAAACTTTTACAAATCTTCAAAGAAGTGTTATCACTTCAAAGGAAAGGTAACCACAGATGTTATTAATTTAATCAAATGTATCCTTCAACCAATAAACCCTTAAACATAAATATAAATATTACTTGATCCTTTAACAGTTTTCTTTGCTCTATTTTAAGAAAAATCTCAGAAGCCCAGCCCTTTAGTAGTACTATAGAGCTACTTGAATATTTCTTGATGTAATCACTATTTAATTGATAAAGAAAAATAATACTTAATATTGTATGAGTAAACAATCACAGATGTTAACTGGATTAATAGGTGAAAATTTATGTCAGTATTGATGCTCATCTACTGTTTTAAAGAAGAAAAAGTATAATTTTAATTAACTGAATTGCATTTTAGATGCATATATTCCAAAATACAGACAATATACAGAACAAGGATGACCTATGTTGGATCTTCACGCACAAACCTTATCCCAACCTAGCGTTTTACCTGATATGTATAATTTGACTGCACTATAACTGCTTAAAATGGAAACATTAAATCTCCCATTTGTTACTTATTCTGTCTCTTACATGTGATCTCAGTCCACTACGTGCTATTCTTTCTCCTCTGGAACACTTGGATGATCTGTCTTCGTATCTGCTTAGTCTTCACACTATAAACAGTGGGGTTCAAGACTGAGGGGAGCAGCAGGTAGATATTGGCCATGAGTGTGTGCACTACTGGTGACAAATGCTTCCCAGATCTGTGAATCATGGTGACGCCAATGAGAGGAACATAGAAGAGAAGCACAGCATAGACGTGAGAGAGGCAGGTATTGAGGGCTTTGAGCCTTTCAGCTGTGGAGGCAATGCCCAGCACAGTCTTCAAGATGAGCACATAGGAAAAAAGAATGATAAAAGCATCCAGCCCCAATGTGAAGATGACGATGATGAGGCCATAAAGGCTGTTGACATGGGTGCTAGCACAGGCTAGTCGCGTTGCAGCTTGGTGGAGACAGTAAGAATGAGACAGGACATTGGAACGACAGAATGGTAGCCTCTTTATAAGGAAGGGCCCAGGGAAGACCACACAGACTGCCCAGGTCAGGACAGTTATTCCAATCTCGCCAATGACACCATGGGTGAGAATGGAGGCATAGTGTAGCAGGTTTTGGATGGCAACAAATCTGTCGAAGGCCATGGACACTAGTACTCCTGATTCTACCACTCCGAATCTATGGATGAAGAACATCTCGGTGATACACGCATCAAAAGCAATCTCAGGGGCATTAAACCAGAAGATGCTGAGCATGGAGGGCAAAGTGGACATGGAGAAACTAACATCAGTCAGAACCAAGATAGAGAGGAAGTAGTACATGGGTTCATGGAGACTCTGATCCATCTTGATGACAGCCAGAATGATGCTATTTCCCAGGAGAGTTAGTGTGTAGAGAAATCCCAAGGGAAAGACCATCCATGGATTCTTGTCTGGCATCCCTGGGATACCTGTCAGAATGAAAGTATGGTAGTTGGCATTTGATATATTAAAATTCATCATGGTGTTCTCAGGGTTGAGTGAGGCAGGACTCTCCCATTTAGCTCACAGCTCCTGAATTGAAAATACATTCTTATATAAGGTGAAACAGCGGAGGGGAAAATATATATTTAAAACAGAATCTAGGCGGGTTTGATATCACCTTGGCTTTTTGCTTTCTAGGCAATCACTTGCAATGACCTTCCTCCTTTAGGGTTTAATTTGATCATCTGGAAAATGGAGATAAGACTAAACAACAAGTGTTCAGGCAGCAGAGAATTTGGATCTCTCCTCCTTTAATAGCTCTCAAGGATTGGCAAAAAAAAAAAAAAAAAAAAGCAATGCCCAAATACTTAATGTCATAGAACCTTTTGCTAAGTTATCAAATGCTGTTAAACTCAGAATATCATCACCACACACGCACACACCCCTACACACAATTCCACTGACATCACAAATCCACATCCATGCAATTCCCTGGGTGTGTGTTTGTGTGTGTAGATAGATAGATCCTACCACATGAGTAGACACCCTTCCCATTTTATTTTTAATGGCTTACATGTACAAATACACACATTAGTTCATAGAGTTGCTCAAATTAACATTTCATCCTCACAGATTCCTACACTTTACAATTTTTCACAACCTTATTTTAAGGTAGTAAAGAGCAGGGAATAAAAGTTATTGGTTTGGAAACAATCACATTTAAGATATGAGAGGACAGTCACTTACAGGACTTTTATTTTGAGGGCCCCCTAACACACAAGAGACAGGAACCATTCTTGAAATCTCTTTCTTCATCAAAAGAACACATATCCAATTCCCAAATTTATCCCAAAATATATAAAAAATATGTCCCCTTTCCTCTATCACTACAGTCAATAAATAATGTAGCCCATCTCTTCCAGCTTGAACTGTTATGATAGCTTCTTAACTGATTTTCCTGCATCCGCTAGTACCCCCTCCCAATACATTCTTTATTCTGCAGTCAGAGCAAACTTTAAAAAAAAAAAAAAAAGTAGAAATATGACTTATTTTCTCCAAGCTAAGCTCCTTTAAGGGTTTCTGTTGTACTTACAATAGAACCCCAAATCCTTAATTTGACTTTTAAAGTCCTGTACAATTCAGCCCATACTTACCTCTCTAGCATCAGCTCACACCACTTTTTTTGTCTAGTCTCTTCAATCCAGCTAAATTTGCAAACTTGAAGCTCCTGGACCTCACTAAACTACTTCCTGATATAAGACTTTCGTATATGTTCTTCACACTGCCTTATGCTCATCTTTACTCCCTGTACAGTTCCCCTTTTTCTAACCAAAGTCTATTTATACTTCCCAGGTAAGCCTTTTCCAAATGCCTATAATAGCTTAAGACTCCCTGGTACTCTGTTTTCCACTTTAAAAGGGAGCAGAGTTAATTAAACATTATACAAGTATTTGTTTCTTGTCTAACTTTCCTATCAGAAGTTAAACTTCCTGATGGAAAGAAACACGTAGTTGCTTATCATCTCACAGAGCACGTGCTGGGCATATATCAGGTTTCCTGTATGTGTTGAATAAAATGAATATCGATGATTGAGTGTCTTCTTTCCAGAAATCTTGCAAACTTTGAAACCCTTCCCTGATCTTCTGCATGCAGAACGTAAATCATAAGCCAAGTGAAAAATCCCTTCTCTTTTTCTAAAAGGCCACAGACAAAAAAATTAATAGAAAGTCATTGAAATGAATCAGGCATCTTTGTTCCCACCTAGGTACCTATTGTGAGAAAGAATAACAATAAAAAATTATCTCAAGAGCTAGTATGCCTCGGAACTCTGATCCCAGAAAGGAGCCAAGAAAGGAGAGGATCATGATGACCAGGTGGATTTCCTGCCCACCTGTTTTCTATTTATCTGCTATTAAAAACCAGACAAACAGAAAGATTGCCGTCCAGTCTATTCTGACTCATAGTAACCATGTAGGACAGAGTAGAACTGCCCCATAGGATTTCCAAGGTGGATTAGAACTGCTGACCTTATGGTTAGCAGCCAAGCTCTTATCTGCTATAAGATGAGGATATGCTGTTTGGAAACAAGACTATAAAACAGTAGGCTTTCCTATCTGTCTGCCTCCTGTTTATCTGCTATAGGATGAGAATTTGCTCTTTGTAAACATGACTATAAAATAGTTATTTTGCAAAGTCTGATCTCTTAAAAATAGGGAAGTTCTTGAAAAGCAGAGTAACCTATTTTCAAATGTTATGTCTTGCAGACAGAATCCAGGCCTCCCTCCACATGAATCATAATCCTCAGATCTAAACAAAGCACTCTGGGTCCCTAGCTATCACTCTGGCTGTACTTTGAGGGAGAGGCTTTATTATACTTTATATGTTAAATGAGAGCTCTTCACTTACTTGGGCCTGGTGACTTTTCACATGAAGCAATTCTTATGGCTTTCACTGGGAAGAGTCACTTAACTAACCCCTTAGTGGATGTTTTTCTTGGCAAGACCTTGAAAAACCTTTACCCTAAAAAAACAAAACAAAGCAAAACAAAAAAACCTGTTGCCGTTGAGTTGATTCTTACTCACAGCGACCCTATAGGACAGAGTAGAACTGCCCCACAGGATTTCCAAGGAGCAGCTAGTGGATTTAAACTGCCGACCTTTTCATTAGCTGCTGAGCTCTGTAACCACTACACCACCAGGGCTCCTGAAAAACCTTTAATGTTCTCTAAATCCCCAGGGCCTGCTGAAGCATTGTTCCTCTATGAAAACAGTTAATTCTTGATTTTCCCTTCCTTCTTAGGAGTCTTTGACTCTGTTTTTCTTCATCTGAACATGATTTACTCCTTCTCCTTCTGTTTGCTCTAACTCGGATCTTTGTTCTCCATATTCCTTCTCTTTTCAATCCTGTGTAAAATTTTCAGTCCTCTCTTTTTTCCATCTCCCAATTCAGTCCTCATTTATTTTTCCACCCCATCTCTATTTCATTCTCTCCATTCTCCATCACAGTGTATGCCTTCTGCTATTCCTAATAACATCTGCATTTTACTCTTTAACATCTATTCTGTATTTTCCATCACCACACAACACTCAGAGACTCTTCTCATCTGTCCTATCATCCCCTTACTAGGATTTCTGTCAGAATGTAATGAAATAATGCACATAAATCATTCTACACAGAGCTTGCTAATTGGGGAACATTTAAATTTTTAAAGATTAATTTATTACCTGTCCAGTTCAGAATGAATATGGCCTCTTTTCTTCCATGAGACTAACATACAGGGCACTTATGAAGACTTCTTAAACCTCTAGTGTTGTCTGGAGCCATCATAATCCTCCAAGCATTTCTCAACACCTCTTGAAAAATCCCTTGAGGGTGTTAAATAGTGCCCCTGAGCTAGTCCATTAAAATCCCAAATACTTTTTTCATCTGTCAGACTCCTTTCTTCATTCAACACTTAATCTCAAATTTTCCATTTTTCTGATTTTTTCTGCCTCCTCTCAGCTCTGAAGAAAGAAGGGATCTACTTATTTACTCAAATTAGTATTTAATATCTTATGAGTGCATGCACAGACATCTCTATCTCTATATCATCTATATCTGTATCAGTCACACACCTTGCCTGCTGAAAGTGAACAGAACTTCAAGCACTTACTGATGAAGATCAGAGACCACAGTCTTCATTATGGATTACACATAAACATAAAGAAAACAAAAATCCTCACAACTGGACCAACAAGCAACATCGTGACTGGGAAAATATTGAAGTTGTAAAGGATTTCATTTTACTTGGCTCCACAATCAACACCCACGGAAGCAGGAGTCAAGAAATCAAATGACGCATTGCATTGGGCAAATCTGCTGCAAAAGACCTCTTTGAAGTGTTGAAAAGTAAAGATATCACTTTGGGGACTAAGGTGTGCCTGACCAAGCCATGGTATTTTCAATCGCCTCATATGCGTGTGAAAGCTGGACAATAAATAAGGAAGACCGAAGAAGAATTGATACCTTTGAATTATGGTGTTGGCGAAGAATATTGAAGATACCATGGACTGCCAGAAGAACAAACAAATCTGTCTGGAAAGAAGTACAGTCTGAATGCTCCTTAGAAGCAAGGATAGCAAGACTTCATCTCATGTACTTTGAAAATGTTGTCAAGAGGGACCAGACTCTGCAGAAGGACATAATGCTTGGTAAAGAAGAGGTCAGTAAAGAAGAGGAAGACCCTCAATGAGATGGATTGACACAGTGGCTGCAACACCGGCCTCAAGCACAGCAAAGATTGTGAGGATGGCACAGGATCAGGCAGAGTTTTGCTCTGTTGTATTTAGGGTTGCTATGAATTGGAATTGACTCGACTGCATCTAACAACAACAACAATATCTGTATCATGATTTTCTTCATGTTAAATCATTAAATACATTTTAGGGTACCAGCCCTATCTCCGTTCTGGTCTTCTGATTCCAAATCTATTCTCAGTTTCAATTATCATACGGTATTGTAAATTGCTTTGAAATAGGGATGGAGGCGACTGCTGTTTTTAGCTGGAGAGGATTGTCTGGACTGCGTCAATTGTTGGGGGTGTCAAACAGCGAAGTATCTTGTCTGCTAGAGTAAAAGCAAAGAATTTTATTGAAGGAGACACACTTCACAAATTAGGGCACCACTTGAGTGAAACCAACAAAGTGTTCAAAATTGAGAGGGAATGAGGGCAATATTTACACATTAAAAAAAGAGGGAAATTTTAAGCAAAATTTTAATTGGTTGACATTTAATTTACAGTTACAGAGTAGCCATAAAACAATCACAGGTTGGTCATAAGACCCCGTACTCAAATCATATCTTGCTTAACATCAGCTAATTTATTTTTAATCAACCTGATCGCATACATTGTACTAACTTTTCTGAGAACAATTGTTTCTCAAGGCTTAATCTTTTACTACACGTTGCTGTCTTTTCTGTTTATCTTCTTTAGGAATTTTTCATTAGTGTCATCAGGAGTTTGAGCTTCAGCAAAGATTAACTACAGAAGGAAAGATGGA